CGCTTGTCCTGAGCAAAATTTCTGCATGCATAAAGGGATTCTATCAAAACTTCGCACCAATGTTTACCATTGCAAGAGGAGGCGTCGCTTGCAAAATTTAGGTCCTTGCGGCCAAGAGGTTATGGTCCAAATTCAAATAAAAGTATGAAAATGTGTATTTGGACCATTTAGTCATCATTTATTGAGGGATTGAAACACAAATGGTCATTAATCATAACTACAACTAAAGTGCGAAAACATGTAAATTTAGGTTTAATATATGCAAAGTCACTAGGGACGATAAGATATTCAAATACTTTTCTAGAAAATGCCCAAACATTTCTCCTACATGCATATCTGTAATGCCCACATCTTCTAAGTGCTTTTGATAATGTAAAGAAATTGCGAATTGTATTAGAAGTTTCTTTTCATATAAAGTATCATACATTTTATTTGCAAGTCTGTATTTTTCTCTCATTCTAACAATCTATTAATATCAATTTTCTTTGATGAAAAAGATGAGTTTGTATTATTTAAGGTCGAGATCAAATTGGCATTATACTAAGCACGAAGTTCGTCTAAACGTAAAGTAATTTCTGTTATTATATACTTTTAGTTATGCTTTAACTTTTATCATTGTTTGACCCATCAATAAGGTTATATTAAAAGCCAACCTGATGATCAATCTTCTGACAAAGAACACAGAAAGCAAATTCAGAGAAAAATAAGGTCGTCTGATTATGATAAAGGTAAACATTATCTTTACACTCTAAACATCATAAAAATAAACATTATAATGTTACAGTTAAAGTCATATTGGTGACTTATAAAGACCCCATTTTTGAAAAGGATGTGATGTGTACTGCAAGAAAATAGTAGGTCAATTTAAATTTTTCAGAACACAACACATCAGATTTCCTGGGTTAATAGTTCACCTCTATGATAGTATACAATTTATAGATAATTTTCTATATTGCACATCAATCAACCTTTACCGATATTGCTTCGGTTTGTGTTAAATTCATTTCCGATGGTTGAAAAATTCACAATTTTACCATTTGCATTTTGCTGACGCCTGGTCTAAGTTTAATGATTTTTATGTTTTGTTTTGTTTCCTCGTTCAGTAAATATCCGTCTAAAACGCTTGATTTCAATGCATGCTCAAATACAAATAGCATGCATAGTTCCTATATCAAATGAAAATTTTAATAGATGGCACTTAATAGTTCATGAGTCGTTTATGAATATTCCTCATTAGTATATTCAAATTTCATTCATTGTTAATGGTGAAAGCATAATTACAATTTATATACGTATATAACTTTCAAAGGCCACAGGCTGTTAGATGATGTCATAGTCATGTTATTGAGTGAACTTGACAGTATGAGCAGAAGGACAGATATTTGATTTAACAGGACTCGAGGTCATTGCCCTTTTATTGTTGTTGTTCAATAGGGAGTAAATAGCTCTTTATGCTATTCTTCATTGAACTAGTCTTCTAGTTTACTGTTGTTTATGAAGCATGAGCAAACGGACGGACAGTTCAAATTTTTAAATACTATGGATAAAACCGAATAAATTATACCCATCACATGAATAATATACCATATATATTATATATTTTACAATATATACTAGTATATAAATACATGTAATATATTTACAACAGAGCCATGTAGCTGAATGTTCAAGTCCTTTTTGTCTTTAGATGTCATAGTAATCTAAAAATATTTTCAAAGTATTCTAAATGGGATAATCATGTTTTAAATACTATAAAACTGTGTTTTTTCTCATTTTATCGATATTTTTGTGTCTAATTAGCTTAATAAAATAGTATTAAACAAAATTTCAATATTGCTTACCTATAGGTTTATCAATCATAATTTCTTCGAGACATTTAATGTTGTGACGTTTTACTGCAAATAAAAATAGACATTTGTCATACGTTAATATTATCCCCCGCCTTCTCAAAGAAAAAAGGGGGATATAGAAAAAGACTCCGTCCGTCTGTCAATGCCTCTATCCGTCCGTCACACTTTCGTGTCTGGTCCATAATTTTGTCAAAGGTATTCGAAATAACTTGACACAAGTGTTTCTTATAATAAGACGATGTGTCATGCGCAACAACCAAACCCCTAATTCCAGGGTCAAGGTTGCACATGCTCATTCAAGGTCAACATTGTCTATTTGAGGGTATTGCGATTCCGGTCCATAACTTTCTTACTTTTGAAGGGATTTTGTAAATATATGCCACAATAATTCACAATAACGAGACAGTGTGTCATGCGCAACAACCGGTCACCTGCACTTGAAGGTTAAATATCAACATAGTCTGTTATGAAGTATATTTTGTGTCCGGTCCATATCTTTTTCATAGATCAAAGGATTTTGAAAATACTTGGCACAAATAGTAACTGATATAAGACAATGTGTCATATGCAACACCTGCATCCCTAGCTGCAATGTCAAGGTCACACCTAGAGGTAAAATATTAACATAGTCTGTAATAGGGTATATTTTGTGTCCGATCAAGAACTTCTTCACAAATTAAAGGGATTATGAAATAACTTGGCACAAATAGTCACAATAATAAGACGATATGTCAAGTACAACACCTGCACCCCTACCTCCAAAAAAAAGGCCACACTAAGAGTGTAAGTACGTAGCAATAAAAGTAAATTCTAAATTCCGATATCAGATTGCTTTTCTTCTTAACCACCGATTTTCCCTGACGTAGTAAGATAAGTTTCTTACATAAATGAAAAAGCCCCTGACGGGATTCGGATCCAAAGCGGAGAAGGGCAAATGGTTTGAAGTCCATGACCATTACCACTTGACAAAACCATGGAGGCCCCAACTGTAATCAACTACTGTTGTAATGTCCAATAATATACAAACGTGTTTTATTAAATGATGCATGCTTTTAATTTCCATGTCTGTTTCTATTATTTCCTATTATGTATCATTAAAGTACTTTATCCAGTCCGTGTTATGGCCTGTGCACTGTCCTGTTATTATTGAGGTCCTGCTTGTCCTGTGTTGCTGTCGTGTGAGGGTCGCATTTATTGAACTCCGCCCTTCCTTGATGATCTTCTTTTAAAGTTTTACATTATATTTAAAACAGAACAAAATAGTGTAATATTCAAGTCATTTAAATACACCCGTTTGAAAACTGATCATATTATAGTTTCTCCACTGGCAGGCGGCCGGTCGGGCGGTAGGCTGGCGGCTGGTCAGGCTTCGGCCAGGCCGGGCGGGTGGGACCAATAGCATATTTACTACATGCATGGAGAAATTGTAAAGCCGTGTTTCGCACATAAACTAGGTCTCTTGGTCGAAGGTCAAGGTCAAACGTAGATGTAATTGTAAAACTCTTGTCCGCACTAAAACATTAACATGCATAGAGGGATTTCAGATTAAGGTTAATACATGCAAGGTCAAGGTTACAAGAACTGATAGTCGAGGTCACTCAAGATAATAAGATATATAGATATTTTCTCCTACACATATGAAGGGATTTTAATGACATTTCATACAAATGTTCGACACTATAAAAAGAAGTATCATGCACATGAACTAGATCTCTAGGTTTAATGTCGAGATCACACTTAGAGGTCGTTGAAACATTTTGCCTGAGCAAAATTTCTACATGCATAGAGGGATTTCATTATGACTTCGCGCAAATGTTAACCATTGTAAGGCAAAATTAAGGTTCCTGCGTCCAAAGTCAAGGTCACACATATGGGTCAAATTTCGGATAAACTAGGAAAGCGTTTATTCGGACCATTTTACTCATCATTTATTGATTGGTGAAAACACAAATGGTCATAATCATGACTACTAGTGTAAAACATATAAATTAGGCAAATATAATTAATATATTCAAGGTCAAGGTCACGTAAAATGATATTTTAAGTCACTCAAGATGACAAAATATAGAGATATTATAATAGGATGTGATGTGTACTGCAAGAAAAAATAGTAATCACCTAGATCAATTTAAACTTTTCAGAACACAACACGACAGATTTACTGGGTTAATAGTTCACATCTGTGATAGTATACAATTTATAGATAATTGTTCATATTGCACGTCAAACAACCTTTGTCGATATGGCACAGATAATGTTGAATTCATTTTCGGATTGTTGGAAAATTCACATTTTTACCATTTGCATTTTGCTTACGCCTGGTCTACGTTTAATGACTTTTTCTGTTTCGTTTCCTTGTTCAGTAAATATCCGTGTCTATAACACTTTGCTCAAAACAGCATGTAAAGTTCCTATATTAAATGAAAATTACAATAGATGGCAATAAATAGTTCATGAGTCGTTCATGGATATTCCTCATTAGTATATTCAAATTTCATTCAAAGTGTTGTTAATGGTGAAAACATAATTACAATTTAAAAACGTATATAACTTTCTAAGACTACAGACTGTAAGATTATGTCTTAGTCATGTTATCGACACAAATTGACAGTATGAGCAGAAGGACTGATATTTGTTTTAACAGGACTCGAGGTCATTGCCTTTTTAGTGTTGTTGTTGAATAGGGAGTTATGCTGTTCTTCATTGAACAAGTCTTTTAATTTACTTTTGTTAATGAAGCATGAGCAAACGGAAGGAGAGTTCAATTTTAAATAAATATGTAAAAAACCAAATTAATTATACCCATCACATCAAAAATATACATGTACCAAATATATTATATATTTTACAATATATATATAATATATTTACTACAGAGCAATGTAGCTGAGTGTTCAAGTCCTTTTTGTCTTTTAGATATCATAGTAGTCTGGAAATATTTTCAATGTATTCTAAATGCGATGACCATGTCTTAAATAATATTAAGGAACTATGTTTTTTCCTCATTTTAAAGACATTTTTATGTCGTATTAGCTTCTTTTTAATCAAATATTATTAAACAAAATTTCATACCTATAGTCTAATCAATCATAATTTCTTCGGAACATTTAATGTTGTAACGTTTTATTGCAAATAAAGGCAGACATACGTCATAGGTTAATTTTGTCCCCGCCTTCTCGAAGAAAAAAGGGGATATAAAAAAACTCCGTCCGTCTGTCAATGCCTCTATCCGTCGGTCCGTCACACTTTCATGTCTGGTCCATCACTTTGTCATTTATCAAAGGAATTCGAAATAACTTGGCAAAAGTGTTTGATACAATAAAACGATGTGTCATGCGCAACAATCATACGCCTACCTCCAGGGTCAAGGTCGCACTTGCTCATTCAAGGTCAACATTTTCTATTTGAGGGTATATAATCGTGTCGGTCCATAACCTATTTATCTTTGTAGGGATTTTGTAAATACTTGCCACAATTTATCAAAATAATGAGACGATGTGTCATGTGCAACAACCGGTCACCTACCTCTAAGGTCAAGGTCACACTTTGAGGTCAAAGATCAACATAGTCATTTATAGGGTATATATTTTGTGTCACGTCAGTAAGTTTTTCATAGATCAAAGGATTTTAAAATACTTGGCACAAATAGTCACTATAATAAAACAATGTATCATGCGCAACACCTGCATCCCTGCCTCCAAAGTCAAGGTCACACTCAGAGGTCAAAAACTAATAGAGTCTGTAATATGGTATATTTTGTGTCCGATCTAGAACTTCTTCATAGTTCAAGGGATTTTGAAATAACTTGGCACAAATAGTCGCAATAATAAGACGATATTTCAGGCGCAAAACATTGGTCCCTACCTCCAAGGTCAATGTCACACTTAGAGGTTCAAAGATTTACATAGTCTGTTATATGGTATATTTTGTGTCCAGTCCATAACTTTTTCACAGATCAAGATATTTTTAAAATACTTTGCACAAATAATCACAATGATAAGACGATATGATAGGCGAAAACATGGCTTCCTACCTCCAAGGTCACACTAAGAGGTCAAAGATTAACATAGTCTGTTATAGGGTATATTTCGTGTCCGATCTATAACTTCTTCATAAATCAAGGGATTTTGAAAATACGTGGCACAAATAGTAACAATAATAAGACGACATGTCATGCTTAACACCTGCACACCTACCTCCAAATTCAAGGTCACATTTGGAGGTCAAAGCATAGCATTATAGATTTCTTAATTCCGTGTTTCATTTTATTTCTTTAATAATTTCATTGTTGCATTTGCAGATCTTGCATTGATCATAATTTTTTACTATATGTCCTGAGATCTTAACCTCAATCTTTTGAAATAACACAATTTTATGCTTCATATGAAACTTCCCTGAGGCGGGGGACGTTTGTGACTCTGTTACAAATTATTGTTGAAATAAGTCTTGATTTGTTTAAATTTACTACCGATGACAGATGTATCAAAAGTGCATGGCATCAGTAAAGAGGAAGAGGTTAATTGGGTAAAATCAGTACTTGCACTCAAGATCACAGCAGACGACGCTATGACATATTTAGCGAGGTCAACTTTCAAACAATTTTTCAACAGTTTGAATTCAAATGAGAAAATGAGCCTTGAAACTTTGCTAGATATCGCTCAAAATCGAATCAAAGGCTTCGCATTAACACGAGTGAAAGATCATCGTGTATGGGTGGTAGACTTACCAGAGTGTAAGTCTTTGTTGGAGAAGCTTGTAGCAGCTCATTTGGAACCAGAATATATTGGATGGGAAAATATTAGAGATACTAATGTGGAAAGGTACTGGAAGATCGCAAAGCTTTACATGCCACACGGAAACAAGGATAGCACTTGTCCAGAGGATGCAGACATGATTGCAATATTTCATATGTTGAGAAACTTCAAAGTGAAAGATTTTGCTGAGGAAAGGAAAGAAATAGTTGAGGTTTTATCTATTTTTTGTTGTTTATCTTATTATTCTTCTAAATATTTTTTTAAGTGGCATCTTTTCTATTTCATTTAAGAGGATTGTTATATTATTCGTTCTGAGTTATCTTAGATCTTTAGTTATTCAAAATATGTATATCTTTTGAAAAGTCACACTCTTTTTTGTGATCAAAACATGATAAGACTGATAATAATTTAAGTTGATTTTTCATCATTTTAAATAAAATTTTAAATAAAGAGCTTCCATTAAAAGGAATACATTTTGAAAATATTTTACTTTTTATACACATATTCTAGTCAAAAACAAATAACAGTACTGTTACGGAACAGTTGTACTGTAAAATGTTATATATATATCAATCTTGTTTTAATTACAGATGATTTGTCACGTGAACTATTTATTACGTACTCCCAACAACAAAGTTTCTGAAAGGAAAATGTTTTCAATACTCGAGAATATTTACCAATTCATGAAGAGTACTGAGTTGAGTGAAGGTGTCAGATCAATGGCAAAGGATAAACTTGAAAAGGTGTCGATTCATGTTGTTACTTTTTAATGTTGTTGTTTTCTTTTCATATTTATCTATTTAGATTCTCTTATTCACAAAATGCTCAGAACCGGGCTTCAGCGATCGACAAATGTCCGGTGTCTACAATTCTTGGTGTGGCATACATTATAATCAACGATATTTTTGAATAACATCCCCTCCTAACCATAAAGTCTAACTTTACATGAAAGATGTTATTCGACAGTGAGATAAATCAATAAATAAGCAGTTCCATTATAATATAGAAATAAATCACAGCATATGACTATCAACATATGCCCTTTATAAAGCTATACGCTGAAGGCTTTAAATTTGTTATGTAGTAGTCCTTAATGAAATTATATCAATATCAATTTCCGCCTGGTGTCTAAAATGATCCATTCCGAAGGTATACTTTTCTTGTCTAGATTTATATGACATGTGTATTATCGAAACATTATTTTGAGGAAGACAGAACTTTCAAAATGATTTTATATTAAGCATAACCTGATAGTAATAAGTTCACTTCAAACGTATTATAATCATAACTCAGATCAATATCAACCACGTCCTGGGAGGCATTAATTTGGACAATAAAAACGTTTATTAATGAATAATTTGCCTCTAAAATTATCATGTCCTAAACAGAGGTGCTCTTAGGGAAGGGGTGTACTCTTTACAACGATATGTGTAGGAAACATTTAAACATATCTAAAAGATAATTAACTATTACCTGGACCTAACCTAATATTTCATTCCTATCCCCTGTAATTACTACGCGCAGACGAAGTTATATATAATGTTCAGTTTAAAATATAATATATACAATGTGAGGGGATATATATGCGTCACAAACATTTTGCGAATGTTAAAAAGAGCACATTTTGTGTGTGGAAATATTTGCGAAAATATGATTTCTTGAATTTAAAACTGTTTTTTTCCTGATCATATTAATAAAGCAGGTTCATGTCAAGAATATGCCGTTATTGTAATCGCTCTATTCAGTTGTTCAATACTTGATTATTTATATAATTGTTTGAAAAACACATTGTTAGTTTGATCAAGGACCTGATTACTCATTTCTTTGTTTATTTTGAAACATTCTTTTAAAAAAAATAAAAAAAAAAATAAATAAACGTAACGTCAATTTTTTTCTGAAGAAGACTAAACGTCGAAAGCTTAAGAAAAGCGTTTGTTTTTATTGAACTGATTATATATTGAAACATTCTTTTGTAATATGATAAACATAATTATAGTGTTGTTATTATTTAATGAAAACATTTGTGATTTGTTAAAAACCAAGGTTAAACAAACTAGCAGCAAAAATTGGAGAAAAAAATCATCTCAGAACCTGAACCATCAAACTTTTTTCATGTAAGATGCTGTACATAATGATACAAGAATGTTTGCCTAGACAGAAATATTTTTGCGTGAACAAATGTTCGCAAAAATCGCAAATATTTCCACGTCTCAAAATTTTCCACTTAAACAGTAGTATGTTCGCTTAGCTAAATGCGAAGATAATCTTAGGAGTCACTGGTCCGATCCTAGATTGAGGCGTAATTTCTCCTTGACAATTTATTTCTGGCTTTGAAAGTAATGGTCGTTTGTATCTCACCACTGACTCGGAAATGATAAATAATTGTTGGCCGGTCAATTACGGAGAAATTAGTTATTACAGGTTTGTTATCCAAAAGACACTAGTTAGGCAAATCGACCGCCGAAATATGCCAAAACGTGTTAAAAACGTCGGGGAAAGAACACATTATGTAAGTGTAGCTTTTAAATGAAATCGGCTTTGTTTCCTCTTTCGTTTCTTTAAACCATAGTTTAGAGCTTAGACTAGGTGGTATATAGATATGCTTAGTAAGTGCTTTTCTAAGCGGATCATTCCGCGGTTTCAGTCTATGGGAGTACGGATCCAAGACATATCGACAATAATGTCCTAAAATCCTCTGAAATTGCAACATGGTGACCTATTTATTTTTCATCAAGTTATTCAATAAATGCGACTTAATATTTGTTATTTACTTCTTGTCTATTTTATATGCGGTATACATGACTAAGTTGTGCAAGGAAGGCCAATGACACAAAATCAACAATGTTCAATGACCCTTTAAATAAGGTTTATTTGAGTATGTTCACAAGGAAACGAGAACAGTGCAACAACCCGCAAACCCCCTAAACATGTTCTCATTTTTGGTAAAACAACGTGATGTAGATACACCGCCTCCGTGGTCGAGATGTTAGAGTCGATGACTTCTAATCTAGTTATCTCTCTGGCGTGGGTTCGATCCCCGGGAGATGCTTTTGTAGTTTAGCGCAAAGGTAGTCTTGTACTGTTGTTACTCTCCAGGAACGATGTTTAGGAAACTACCCGCCTATATGACTGAAATACTGTTGGGAAAAGGCGTAAAATGAAACAAACAAACGTGATGTAGATAGCAAATGATCCCAGGTATGCGGTATCTCAGACAGAATCAATTAAATACAATTGTTTTATTTAACATCTCATCAGGAAAAAGATCGGCATCACTAAAGTTGTCACAAGTAAAAAAAATGTCATAAAACGGATATATTAGTTGTCATGTTTTGTTTAATATGGTTTGAATAAAATAATGTTTCTAAATATGATATTTATCAGGTTCAACTCATATCGAATTGCGACGAATGGTACAAGAGAATTCTACGTGAACAAAAATCAGATCGTGCATTTGAACGGGACAGAACTAATCAATTTTTAAACATCACGGAAAAGCTACTAGTCGAATTTACAAACAAAACAAGATTTACCATTGCACGAGCATATAATGAACCTTTGTCGGATAAAACTAAAGACGCAACAGCAGTAAGCGATATTGAAGCAATAGGAGGACCGTCAAGTTTATTATATGGTTCGACATTAGGTGCAACTAGTGGTGGAACATCGTTTGTTTGGAAAAGTATGACGGATATTCCATTTGAACATTTTTTTGTTATTGTAACATAAGGATATCTTGAAAGTTAAAAAATACAAATACTGCCCAGTTAATTAAATAGGTAGAGCATTGGACTCTGAATCGGGCGGCCCGGGTTCTATTCACGGACGGTGCGCCTCATTTTTGTTATGATTTTTTCAGGAAACCCTTTCTACGGTCATTCGTACTGTACATTTGCTCTGGCAGGTAAAAAAGTATTCTCCTTGCAAAAGAAAATACTCTAGTACTTGTTAACTGCTTGTTAACTGCAGTCGGTCCATAAACAATTCGGTGGCTGAACTGTGGTGTCCAGAGAGTAAGCCTCCACCACTACTGCCACAAAAATATGAAAAAGTTATAAAAGGAAAATCGGCTCCTATGAAAAACTTAGAAAACATGTAAAACTGATAAAAGTAAATGTACATGATAGCAATAATCTGTCAAAAATCAATTTCGTAAGAACGTTAATGCTTTGATACAATATATTCAACTTTGATACAATATATGCAGTTTTGCTATAACTTTTATCATTGTTTGTCATTTTATTAGAAAGCACTGTAAACCCGCCTAGCAAATCATCTGACGAAGAACACAAAAAGTCGACGCAGAGAAGGTTCCTTTCTCCTGATTCTGATGAAGGTATACATTATATTTACAAGCCAAACACATTATTAAGATAATCATTTTTTACATAAGTTGACTTAAACAATAATGAGAGAATTTCGTTGACTAATATACATATAGAATTATTTACATAATTAGATGTTAATAGATGTACATGCACTGCAAATACGTAATTATAAAAAGTAAATTCTAAATTCAGAAATCAGAACGCTTCTCTTCGAAATTTTTCACAACTGAATTTCCTTGAAGTAGTAGTAAGGTAAATGAAAAAAGCCCCTGACGGGACTCAGATCCACAGCCGAGAAGGACAAGTGGTTTGAAGTCCATGACCATTACCATCCGACAAAACAATGGACAAAACCATGGACGCCCCAACTGTAATCAGCTACACTTGAAATTCCAAATTATATACAAATGTGTTTTATTAAATGCTTTTAATTTCCTTGTCTGTTTCTATTATTACCTATCGTGTATCATTGAAGTACTTTATCCAGTCCGTGCTTTGCCCTGTGCTCTGTCCTGTTTTTGTTTTGGGGTCCTGCTGGTCCTTTGTTGCTTGATCATGTGAGGGTCGCGTTCATTGAAAGTCGCCCTTCCTTGATGATCTTGTTTTTCATATTTTACAATATATTTACAACAGAACAAAAAATGTAATGTTCAAGTCATTTATATACGCCCGTTTGAAAAACGTATCGAATGAAAGTTTTCATTCTGGCGGGCAGCCGGTCGGGCTGGCGGGCGGGCGAGCAGCTAGACTAGGCGGATGGCGACCCATTTTTGTCCCCAGCATATTTCCTTCATGCATGGAGGAATTGTAAAGGCGTGTCGCGCGCATAAACAAGGATTCTAGGTCAAATGTCAAGGTCACATTTCGATGTCAATGTAAAACGCTTGTCCAGAACAAAACATCTACATGCATAGAGGGATTTCAAATTTAGGTTTATATATGCAAGGTCAACGTTATTAGAACTGATAGGCAAGGTCACTAAAGATAATAAAAAACATAGAGATTTTGTTCAGAGCACATGTCCTACACATATCAAGGGCTTTTAATGACACTTCATACAAATCTTCACCACTATTGAAAGAAGTGTCATGCGCATTAACTAGGTCTCTAGATTAACAGTCAAGGTCACACCTAGAGGTCATTAAAACATGTTCGTAGCAAAACTTCTACATGCATAGAGGGGTTTTCTTATAACTTCGCACAAATGTTTGCCATTGTAAGGGGAGGCGTCGCGGGCCAAATTAATGTCCTTGCAGCCAAGGTCAAGGTCAAAGTTCAAATAAAAGTATGAAAATGTGTATTTGGACCATTAAGTCATCATTTATTGAGGGATTGAAACGCAAATGGTCATTATCAAAACTACTGGTGCGAAACATGTCATTTAGGTTAATATATGCAAAGTCAATGTCACTAGAGATGACAAATTGCATGTAGTGATGTTTTTATGCAAATAAATATACTATCAATTACAGATTTATTAGAAGTTCATGGCATCAGTAAAGAGGAAGAGGTAAATTGGGTAAAATCAGTACTTGCACTCAAGATCACAGCAGACGACGCTATGACATATTTAGCGAGGTCAATTTTCAAACAGTTTTTCGACAGTTTGAATTTTAATGAGAAAATGAACCTTGACAATTTGCTGGATATCGCTCAAAATCGACACAAAGACTACAAATTAACACGAGGGAAATATAATCGTGTATGGGTGGTAAACTCACCAGAATGTAGGTCTTTGTTGGCGAAGCTTGTTTCAGCTCATTGGGATCCAGCATATATTGAATGGGAAAATATTGGAGATGTTCATATGGACAGCTACTGGAAGATCGCAAAACTATACATGCCAAAAGGAAACAAGGATAGCACTTGTCCAGAAGAAACAAACATGCTTGCAATATTTCATTTGTTGAGAAATTTCAAAGTGAAAGATTTTGTTGAGGAGAGGATAGAAATAGATCAGGTTTTATTATTTTTTATTGTTTATCTATTTCTTCTCTCTCAAATTGAAAAAGTGTCACTTTTATATTTTATTTAAGAGCATTGTAACATTATTCTTTCTGATATTTTTGTTGTTTAGTTATTCAAATTATGGATATCTTTTTAAGGTTAAACATTATGTTTATGATCAAAAGTTGTTTGGTTTTAAGTTTTAATTCAAGTTTATATTCCATCACTTTTATAATATTTTAAATAAGATGTTTGTATTAAAAGCAATGAGTTTGAAAAAATAGTTTGTACTAGTCAAAGACAAAGAACAGCTGGGAAACAGTTGTACAGTAAACTGAAATATATACATTGTTTATTAATGGCTTGTTTGAATTACAGATGATTCGTCACAGCAACTTTTTAATATTTCTTTCTCAAGAAAACAGAATATCGGAAAAGAAAATGACTGAAATTTTCAAGAATATAAATAAATTCCTGGAGAGTAAAAAATTGAGTGACGAAATCAAATCGAAGACAAAGGATAGACTTGAAAAGGTACCGATACATGTTGTTGATTTTTTTCCCTTAAAAACAAAACCCTAGATGTTTTGATTCACAAAATGCTTATTACCGCGCATTAGGGATCGCAAGATGCCCGGCGTCCGCCATTTGTGGTGCGTCGTACGTTATTGTCAACATTATCTTTAAAAACATCCCCTCTTAATCGCAGAGTATAACTTTAACCTAATTTTACAATAACTGTTACAACTGTCCTTTATTTACTGCAACGCTGATATTTATCATGAAGCACTCCTTAATTAACCTCTACAAAAGTTATTCCATGGCGTCAGAAATGATACTATTTCATGGTATATTTTTTTATATCGACTGATATTGAAAACTGTTTATTAAATCTTCTTTATTCGAGGAATTAATGTTACAAAGTGATTTGGTAAAAAGCAGAACTTTGTAATTCTTAATAACTAAAATAGTTTAAATAATTATGCCACATATTAATATCAGCTACGCCCTTGGAAACATTAATAAGGACGAGACCGTTTGTTTTGTTGTTTGTTTTAGTTTATTTTCATATAGTCTTTCCGCTTAGCTCAATGGGACGAGTATCGAATAAGTACTTCAGGTGTGGTTCCGAACCTGGGTTGGGAGTTATGTTTCCTTGACAAATGATCTCGGACATTAAAAATAATGGTTATTTGTGTCTTACTGCTGACTTAGAATTTTAATCATAGACAACTAATGGTCGGCCACGAACGATGAAATTACATATATTAAGTTATCATTAAAAGCCGGGGAACTTATCGCCGATATATGACCAAACGTATTAATCACGGCGTAAAAAAAGGAAACATATATGTACGCATGGCTTTTAAATAAAAACGCATGTGTTTCTTCTCTTTTTTCATCAAATTGTATAGAACGTTAAAGATTAAGTGGGATTTAGTTATGCTTATTAATTTGGGATTGAACAAAGCTTGCAATACTCTCCTGTCCATCGGTCGAAAATTTCGTTATAGCTCACTTTCTTTCGTGTGAAGTAACGCGTGTTTTCACTGAGTTGCAAAGGGAGCGTTGGCTTGCAACCGCTCAATAATGTTAAAAAAACATATATATATAAAGTAATTGTAAAAGAAACCACAAGATAAATAGGAGAGATATTAATGATGTTGCCTAGTTAACCTTTGCTGAAATAAGTCACGTTTTGAACAAGAAATTTAAGAAAATGTGATCTCTTATAAGCCTCAAAACAAATAAATTATATGCAAGTTGAAGACCCGGTTTATTGATGAGGTATAATAATTGAACAGTGCAACATCCCCCACAATACCTCAAACTCTCATTTTCGTTAAAACTGTGGTGTAGATAGCAATTGATGTCGGGTTAGCAAATAGTTGCCTACTCTGGACGCTTTTATATTTAGCTAAGTAATTATCAATTTAAAACAAGTGCTTTGTTTAATAACTCAACTTGTCAAGAATTATCCCAGATCGCCAAAGACGTATAACATTTTTAAAGTAATTAATTGTGTGCACGAATGGCAACACCTAAGTTTCACAAGTAAATGAAATATATGTACCATTTAAGGGTGAGATACTTTCTTCTTGTGTTCTGTTTTATATAGGTTAAATAAAATATTAACATAAATATGATATTTGGCAGGTTCAACTCATGTCGAATATCGGCACATGGACATGGATCTGGTACAAGACAGTCCTACCAAAACAAAGAAAACGTCTTGCAGTAACACTGGACAGAACTGAGCAATTCTTGAATATCACTCAATGGCTACTATTGGTACTTAAATTAGAAAGAAGACATGCCATGATAAGAGAAAAGTATCACCATGTGTGGTATATGTTTCTTTATGCATTAGTAGGAGCGCTTACTGGTTTAGTAATTGGTTGTGTATCAGGTGCCACTATTGGAGCATTACTACGGTTTTTCGAATGGTTATAGGACTGCAGCTCTACTGCTCACACATTTTGATTTACGTACACAATTTTACACGAGACAATATTCGGAACATGTTCACTATATACAGTGAAAAATCAATACTAAATAATTACAATAACAATTCCGTTTATTTTCAAATGACAAGGGGTAAGAAGCCAGGCGTACGCTAACAATACAATATTTATTAAATGACGTTCTTGACGTTGATATGTATCAATTGAAACGTATCTTTTTCTACTAAAAACAGTATATATAAACTCGACTAAACAATAATTATTGCAAATCCCAGCATTAACTAATTATAATTCTTAATCAAAATTTACAAACCTGACATGAAAAAAATAATGCAAGACATTCTAAAGCTACCATCCTACACATACATGTCTTATCCGACGAAAAAAATATCTTCTTAAAGCTTAAGCAAATTTTATCATGCTTTGATTTTAAACCGTTGCAATGCTTTATTTTGTTAATATTGATTTAAATTATAAAATTACCCGTCAATAGGTTGCAAGTAGATCCTTTGGATTCAAGTAGAACATGTGTGCGCTTGGTAAAGTTTTGTTACCCTGCAATCGACTGCTGCACAATATATCATAGAGAATTATTTCGATAAAAAGAGACAAAAATTTGAAGAACATATCTTGGTATTCCTGTTTTTAAGTGGGATGTCCTACTCGCTACATGTTAACAGGTGTGATGATACGGGTAAAAATGTACCTCGTGAAAACTGCATTTTAACTTCTATGCAAAATTATTTACTGTAAACGATATGTTGATGCTTAAGACTCGTTTTGTGTGGTAAAGTAACTTTAATTGATGATTTAAGTTTCAAATGTTTTTCACTTCATGGTTTTCCATTTTTACTTAAAAGAAGTAATCTTTTTAAGACACCGTCTTCTTTTCTTTTAGACACTTTCTTTGTAAAATAATCGGTAAACGGCAGACTTTGTCGGCTTGTCGGCAAACCGGCTATAAATAGTGTTTCGAAATTGTTGTATATATATCAAAATGTTATATAAATGTTTTATTTGGCAATATTGACCAGAGACATTTGAATATTCAATGACCGTTTGTCGTTAATTGTCGGATTCCAAAGTTAATTTTACGATTTTTAAATTATGTCATAACGGTATATATGTTTATGTATAACCTAAGTTACCGACACAACTAGCCCCTGGGATAAGACGTTACGAGTTTCTTGTTTCATATTAAAGGCCGTAGTTTTGAATTTTAATGGAACATCATTTCTTTGTTGTTTTTTTTGTGTTTTTGTTTTTGTTTTTTATTTGAGAAACCTTTTTGTATGCCAATCACCCATGCACAACTGTACAACTGTACAAATTGAAGATTACATTTTTATCTTTATATCAAATTATTTAGAGATAAAGAAATCCGAAAGAAAGGTACTTTTTTGAGGATACACACTTTCAATTTCGTTATTACTAGGCCATCGGGACGTTAGTATACTATGAAGTAGGGAGAACATTTATACCATTACAAATCAATAAGTAAAACGTTATAAATTACGGAAACTAGCAAAAATGTTTCTGGAAATGAATGAGATTCATATCAATATTGCCAAACAATTATGTAACCATTTTTATTAAAGACATTTTAAAGCTGTATTGCGTGTGTAAATATAATTTACTTGTTACTAGATTCCCGTAACTGTTGCAATGTACTTCAAATATTTTCTGTTTCATTGGATAAGACAATTTTACACTGCACCTGTACCTGTAATACTTAGATAATACACATATTGCTTTCTGATGCTGTCAATACATGTTAAACACGCACTGACACCTCACGCACACACCCCATCCCTATCCGTTCTTTAATTTTAGAGTTATGCTGTAAGTTGTATCTACTTTTTCAGCTTTTTATCATTGACAAAACTATATTGCTTTCATTGTGATAGATAAAACACGTTTTTGAAAAATCATGTAATGGTTGTCAGCAATAATAAATGTTTTAAATGGAAATATGGATTTATTATTATTATTATCATTATTATATTTTGAATATTTAAAAGAATGTTGAAACGGACAGACAATATATACCAAATATATAAAAAGACAGCCCCTCAGCTATAATAAAAAATTTTGAAGTGATTGTTCATATTACAATAATTTAGCACTTTTGGAGCATTATTGAGAAAATGTTGTAAAAAAATGTAAACAGGTATGAATGGAGAAAAGTGGACACGTTATATTTCTCTGTGTATGTAAATAACAGTAATAACAAGATGGCTACGATGGCCCTTTTTATCGCTCAGCTGATTATTAGGACTCTTTATAACAACTTTTATTGTTCATTATAAATGAAAGGCAGATAGTGTGTCTTAATCTTAAACTGATAACATAAAAGTCATACATGCATGTGGAATGTTGCAAATGTTACCAAGGTTTTTCGATATTCGAGCTGTGTCACCTAGTTTTTTACCAAAGTTGACCCATATTCAAACTTGATATAGAAATCAATAGAACAAACTTGCTGACAAATTTCCAAGGTGTTTGGGCTTTAGTTATTATATTGACAGTGTGAACAAGGTTGTTCGTACTCTGTTCTTTAGCTTTGACCCGAAAATATTCAAATTGAGCTAGAAATCAACATTACAATATTTCTGACAAATTTCAAGTATATTATGTAGAAATCATATAAATAGCTGTTCTGACAAATTTAAAGGATATTTGGACATAAAAAGTAGCCACTAGAGTGTTAACAAGATTTTCTGCTTTGGTCTTTGAGACTCAGTTATCAATCCGACATGACATATGTTAGACCTCGTGCATGCAAACAGTTACTGGGATAAACATACTGACAAAAATGTTGCACTAGAGGGAAAGGGACAACAAACAATACTAAAGTCTCACCCTGAACCATTAAAATATAGTAGATAACTAACTCAATTCTCTCTCCTTTGTGTTTCTTTCCTTGAAAGTATTGATTGATTATATATATTTATCAGACATACAATATTCTATCAAAAAGGCATTCGATAAATGAAAATTTGATATACCTCTTAAACAATATATAAGTACTATTAAGAAGTCAACTATAATGGTAATGCAATGGTATTTTTTTTTAATATTTAGTGCGTTTTGGTTAAGATTTGTATTGAATCTGATGTAAATACGTATGATTTTGCTTTTGTAAAATAGAGCCTCGCTCCCTTCCACCGGTTTTATTGCGTTACGAACCGGGCCCGAAAAAGGCCTATCATCGTTGTTTGTATCACGGAACTGTGTTCTTTGGGGCTATCAACGCCTGTTTTTTTGTGTGAAAAAACACCAAAAAGGTCTATCACCGTGGGTTGCGGCAGCTTTACTGTATACTCTGAGGCTATCACCGACGGTTTTATTACCTTAAAAACCCCAAAAATGCCTTTTACCATGAGTTGTATCAGCTTGATTGTTATCAATTAGTGTATCAACGCCGGTTTTATTCCGTTAAGAATCCCTTAGAGTCCAAGCACTGTGGGTTGTGTCAGATTGACTATATTTCTGAGGGGATCATTATGCTTTGAGAACCCCAAAAAGACCTATCACCTTTATATGTATCAGCTTGACTGCGTTACCTAAGGCGATCACTTTTAATTAAGAACCCTCTTAAAGGCATATTACCTAGGGTTGTGTAAGTTTGACTGTGTTTCCTATGGTTATCACAGTCGGTTGTGTTAGGTTAAAAGGCCTATAACAGAGGTTAAGTTTTCGTCATATTGACTGTGTTTCCTGGGGAAGACCTGTCGATTTTATTTAGTTTAGAACAGATTGGTCTATAATTTTGGGTTGTATCAACTTGACGATGTTCACCAATACTATTACCGCCGATTTCCCTACGTTAGGAGCCTCCAGTTTAATTGTGTTAAGAACCAAGAAAAGGGACTTTCACCTTGGATTAATCAGCTTGACTGTGTTCCCTAAGGCTATGGTCGTCGTTTTTTTTTTTTGCATTAAGAACCCCTAAAAAAGGCCTATCACTGTGGGTTATTTTAGCTTACTGAGTTCCCTGAGGCTATAACCGCCGGTTTTATTGCGTTAAGAACCCCATATAAAGCCTATCACCTTGGGTTGTGTCCGCATGACTGTGTTCCCTGGGGCTATAACCGACGGCTTTATTGCATAAGAGCCCTTTAAAAGGCCTATCACCGTGCGTTGTGTGAGCTTGAGATTGTTCCTTGAATCTATTACCGTCGTCGGCTTAATTATGTTAATAACCTTCAAAAAGGTCTTTCACCAATGGTTGTGTCAGTTTGACCGTTCTCCCTGGGGTAATTACCGCCGAATTTATTGCATTAAGAACCCCCTAAAAAGCATATCACCATGAGTTCTGCAAGCTTGACTGTGTTCCCTAAGGCTATCTCAGCCTGCTATATTGCTTTAAGAACCCCCAATAATCCTATTATCTCGGGTTGTACCAGCTTGACAGTGTTCGCTGAGGCTATCAACGTCTGTTTAATTGCATTAATAACTACCACTGTGGAATATGCCAGCTTGACTGTGTTCCCTGAGGCTATCAACGCCTGTTTTATTACGTTAACAACACCCTGAAAGACCTATCACCACGGGTTGTGTCACCATGACTGTGATTCCTGACGCTATTCCCGTCCGTTTCATTGCGTTAATATCCCCGAAAAAGGCCTATGACCGTGGGTTGTGTCAGCTTGACTGTGTCCAAGAGGCTATTATTTCAGGTTTATTGCGTTACAAAGCTCAAAAAGGACTATCACCACGGGTCGTGGCAGCTTGGTTGTGTTAAGATATTTAATCTTCGTCGGTTTTATTGCTTAAGGATAAACGCTGAAAGGCCTTTCATTGTGGGTTGTGTAAACTTGGCTGTGCCCCTGGGGCTATTGCCCTCGGTTTTATTCCCAAAACTGTGTTCTCTTGGGATATCACGGCCGACTGTTTGCGTTAAGAACCCCTAAAAGGTATATCACTGTGGGTTCTATCTGCTTGTCTGTGTTCACTTAGATAATCACCGTTAATATTATTGCGTTCAGAAATTTCTAAACGCCCTTTGCTGGGTTGGGACAGCTTGACTGTGTACTTTGAGGCTGTCACCGCCGGTTTTATTGCGTTAAGAATCCTGAAAAAGCCATTTCACCTCGGGTTGTGTCAGTGTGATTGTATTGCCTGAGGCTATCATAGTCGGTTTTATTGCGTCAAGAACCATCAAAAAGGTCAATAACCGTCGGTTATGTCAGATTGACTGTGTTCGCTGAGAATATCACTGCCGGTTTGATGGCGTTAAGACCCCCCCCCTCCCAAAGAAAAGCATTTCACCTCGGTTGTGTGAGCTTGAATGTGTTAAGGCTATCGCCGTAGATTTAATTTTGTGTTAAGAACCCTCAAAAAGGCCTATAACTGTCGGTTGTGTCAGATTGACTGTGCTCTCTTACGATATCTCTGCCGGTTTGGTGGCGTTAAGAACAGAGCTGCATCAGTACTAAGGGTGTAGTACTTAAGTACCAGTACCAGTACTTGGCAAATTATGCAGTACCATTACCAGTACCAGTACTAGATTTTAGCTCGGTACTGCAGTACCAGTACTTTTTTTGGTGAAGTAATTAAGTATCAGTACCATTACTTTTATATAGCCATCAAAGTTTGAATAAATACAGTGTCAAACAAATAATTGCAAAATTTTTATATTATTCAGCAAAGAAATAAAATCATAATTTACTTTTAAGCTGCATGCCTCCAGATGACCCAAAATATTTCAAGAAAATTAAACTTGGAAAAAAATTACTAAAACTTTGAGAAAAGTAAACAAATTAAAGATTCAAGTGATAATTTATATCTTATGTGCAATTAATGACTGTATTTTGTAGTATTTATCACTATATTTCTACTGCGTTACTACTTCAGTAGGGGCTATTTATGCATATTTTGACCTCTTTTGGTAATTTACGTGGATTTTAAGTGCCGATTGTAATGTGTCAAGTACTTTCTTTGTTCATTTAACAATATTTTACCTTTAAATACATTTTCAAAATTTTCATGAAAATTAGGATGAATCTGGAGGCATGCTGCTTTAAAGTTAACATAACATATTTACAACTTTATAGTTTTAACATACTTTTTACAAACAATATTTACAACATATATTCATGTCATATCTAATTGTTTAGTAACCAGTCAACTGTATAAATACAATGCAAACATCTTTCATTTAAAACACAACAGTCTTTTGTTGCCTTTCACACCTTAACACCTCTGTTCAATTTATACCAAAGTAAATAACAACTTTTAATGGTGCTAACAATATCACTTTTTTCACTTGAAATGGGATTTTTTAGAATAGAAGAAATTAATTTGTGTTTATTTTGCTCTTTTACTAGTAAATACAAAGAAATAAAAGATTTTAATAAGGATATTTTAGGGTAAAGTGTTATCGAGTTTGTTTATCTTAATTTAATTTTTACTTAAAGTCTTTGGTGCGTTTTATGATGAATACTACATGTATGTTAACATTTGAAGGAATATTGCAGCAAATTATCTTTAGATTTGATAACTTACTTTTTCACAAAAATAAAATATAGTTAATGTAATTTACAGCTTTATTTTATGAGAAAAATTGATGTTATTTTAAATTTTATCAAAACCAAAAGTACTGGGTAATGCAGTAGCAGTACCACTTTTTAAGACAGTAATGCAGTACCAGTACCAGTAGTAGCAAAATTTTGTAAGAGTAATTCAGTATCAGTACCAGTACTTGCAAAATCGCTGCAGTACGTACTGCAGTACCAGTATCAGTACCAGTAATGCAGCTCTGGTTAAGAACCCCCTCCCCAAAAGAATTTCACGGTCGGTTGTGTGAGCTTGAATTATTTGATAAAACTTAATAAAATTATATAGATGTTAGTCTGGAAATTATGTACGTCTTTTTTTTCTTCATATGTTGCAAATTTTGGTTGTAATGGCAATAAATAGACTGAAAATATGGCTAATTTGACACATTACCTGGATCTAGCGATATCGCAAAAGATACTGAAAATATTTCTAATAAAACTTGAAATATTGGTAGATGGCAGTCT